TGGGGCCTGAACTCTGGGCCTGGGCGCTGTCCCTCAGCTCTTCAGCTCAAGGCTAGCACTCTACCACTTGAGCCACAGCGCCACTTCCGGCTTTTTTTCTTTTTGCTTATGTGGTGCTGAGGAATCGAACCCATGGCCTCAGGCATGGCAAGGCAAGCGCTCTACCACTGAGCCACCTTCCCAGCCCCAGAGCCTCCTATGCTTATTTGGCTTTTTCACTCAAGGCTAGCACTCTACCATTTGATCCCCAGTTCCACTTCTGGCTTGTTGCTGGTTTAACTGGAGATAAGCATCTCCTACTTTTCTGCCTTAGCCTCTCCAATAGCTGGGACTTTAGACTGAGTCCCTGGTGCCAACTCTTCCTTCTTGTTCTCCCTCTTTCCTGGAAGCCCTTCACTCCTCCTTTCTCCTTTCCTGCCTCTCCTCCCCTCGCCCTTTCTCCTCCCCTCCCAGGAGACCGGTTCAGCCCCTCAGCAGGGCCATGTAGGGTGGATGTGGGGCGAGATGGTCAGGGCAGGCAGGCAGTGGTCCTGCCTCCGCCCTGGTCTTAATTCCAGTGTGCCCCATGGCCTGCAGGGATGACGAGATCCGGGACAAGTGTGGGGGCGACGCCGTCCACTACCTGTCCTTCCAGCGGCACATCATCGGGCTACTGGTGGTCGTGGGCGTCCTCTCCGTGGGCATCGTGCTGCCGGTCAACTTCTCAGGGGACCTGCTGGGTCAGTGCAGGCTGGGGGCAGTGGGGCAGGCGAGCGCGCGGGAGTTAACGCCTTACCCACCACCATCTCCCTCTCCTCACCTTGCAGAGAACAATGCCTATAGCTTTGGGAGAACCACCATCGCCAACCTGAAATCAGGGTGAGGATGGGGGTCGAGGGCTGTAGCATGGCGAGGGGAAGGGGCACCCTTGGAGCTTTGTGGAAAGCTGCCCAGGGTGTTGGGGGTTACCATGGCTCGTGGCATGAAGATTTGATCTCCTAGGGCCATTTCTTTCTCTCTTTTTTTTTCCTTGCCTTGAACTCTGGGCCTGGGCGCTGTCCTTCAGCTCTTCAGCTCAAGGCTAGTGCCCTACCACTTGAGCCACAGTACCACGTCTGGTTTTCTAGTGGTTTATTAGAGTTGAGAGTCTCACAGACTTTCGTGCCCGGGCAGGCTTTGAACCGTGATCCTCAGATCTCAGCCTCCCGCGTAGCTAGGATTACAGACATGAGCCACTGGCGCCCAGCCCTAGGGCCATTTCCGTTGGACTGGAATGATGGAGGGGCTGTAGGGGTTGGAACCAGAAGCCTTGGCGGCCACGGAAGGGCCATGGCTGTATGAGGGCCCCATGCCGGGAGGTGGTCTCGGCTGAGGGTCCTGGCCCTGGTGGCCCTCACAGATCCCTTCTGCTCCCCACCAGGAACAATCTCCTCTGGCTGCACACCTCCTTCGCCTTCCTGTACCTGCTGCTGACCGTCTACAGCATGCGGAGACACACCTCCAAGATGCGCTACAAGGAGGACGACCTGGTATGCAGGCCGCACCCCCCACTACTCCTGTCCCTGCGCTCCCTCCGCCCGGCCCCCTTGTCCTGGCTGTATCACCAAGGGGCTCCATCCGTAAGCCTCAGTTTCCTGGCCTGTGCAGTGGGCTGATGAAACCCCTCCCAGGGTGGTTGGGAAGGTAGCGTGAGGCCAGGCTTATGCCCTGTGGGCTATCCCGTGCCTCGTAGCAATGTGGGGTGATACCATCTTGCCTGGTAGTTGTGGTAGGTATGATCCCCTATCCTCTACCGCCACTCTACGCCCACGCCAGCCACTTCCCCAAAGACCTGAGAGTGTACCCAGTAGTCCTCAACCACGAGTCGCTGGGTGCCAGTCTCCCTGCCCCTTGCATTCCCTGAGGCTTCTTCCTACCACCCCTACCTGCTCTGTCCACCCCTCTCGCCCCTTGAAAAGCAGTGAAGCCCCTCCAGCCTTCCTCACCTCCCTCAGGAAGGCAAACCCTCCCTCTCCCACCAGGTCAAGCGGACACTCTTCATCAACGGAATCTCCAAATATGCAGAGTCGGAAAAGATCAAGAAGCACTTTGAGTGAGTAAGCGGCCCACAGCGTCCTCACATCTTCCAGCCCAGAGATCTGGCTGGGGGGCCTGGCACTCAGGCCAGTGATAAACCCCTTTTAGGGCAGGAGCTGTCTAGGAACGTAGCTCAGGGGAAGAAAGTATGTCTAGCATGCCAGAGGCCCTCGGTTCCATGCCAGCATCTTAAAAATAAAAAATTCCAGCACTTAGGTTGAGGCCAGAGGATCTTGAGTTCGAAGTCAGGCCCAACTCCATACTAAGACCCCCCAGCGCCACTTCCGGCATTTTTCTTTTTGCTTATGTGGTGCTGAAGAATCGAACCCAGGGCCTCAGGCATACAAGGCAAGCGCTCTACCACTGAGCCACCTTCCCAGCCCCTTGAGACCCTTATCTCCAATATACCACCAGAAAACTGGAAGTGGCGCTGTGGCTCAAGTGGTAGAGCACTTGCCTTGAGCTGAAGAGCTCAGGGACAATACCAAGCCCCAGAGTTCAAGCCCCATGATTGACCAAAACAAAAAAGTCTCACGGACTTTCCTGCACAGGCTGACTTTGAACCTCGATCCTCAGATCTCAGTCTCCTGAGTAGCTAGGATTACAGGCGTGAGCCACGGCACCTGGCTCCCATCTTTGTGTTTTATTAAAAGCTTTAATGAGCAACAATTAAAGTTAAACAAGATAAAATTCTATAGCATGGGCCGGCACTTACCTCCAAATAACCACCAGAAAACCAGAAGTGGCGTTGTGGCTCAAGTGGCAGAGCTCTTGCCTTGAGCTGAAAAATGCAGGGACAGTACCCAAGCCCAGAGTTAAGCCTCATGACCAACCAAAAAAAAAAAAAAAGCAAAAAACACATACTTAAAGATGGGGATTCTGCATAAAGATTGGAGCGGGAGCAGCGTGCCCTCACACTTGAAAAGTCACCGTTCCTTCTCCCAAGCCAGCAAGCTTTCTCTAAGACATCTGCCAGCCGAATGTTGTCAGGGAGGCCAGTCTGCCTTGAGCTGGCTCGGGCTCAGGGCTCCATCTCTGGCCAGGGTTAGAGGTCAGGTTCAGGGTCACTTTCTTGTTGGTCTTAGGCCAAAGCTAGAGATCTTTCTGTCCATAGAGCTACAGGTTGTTTGGGGTCAATCCAGAGTCAGGGCCTAGTGTTGGACCAGGACGAGGTCTGCGGGGAACATAGATATAACCTATGACTCAACACAGTTTCTACAAGTTCTCAGCCCTGGACAAGAATAAGACCACAGCAGGGCACCAATGGCACCTGATAATCCTATCTAGTCAGGAGGATGAGATCTGAGGATCGCAGTTTGAAAAGTCCTTGAGACTCTTCTCTCCAATTAACCACCAGAAAACTGGAAGTGGAGCTGTGGCTCAAAGTGGTAGAGTGCTAGTCTTGACCAGAAGAGCCCAGGGTCAGTGCGTAGGCCCTGAGTTCAAGTCCCAAGACCAACCAAAGAGATGGGGGGGGGGGGAATCAGACCACAGCCATGGCCCATATGTATAATCCTAGCTGTTCAGGGGGCTGAGATCTGAGGTTCATGGTTCCTAGCCAGCCCAGCTCCCAATTCCTATCTCAAATAACCAGTTAAAAAGCTTAAAGTTGAGCTGTAGGTTCAACTGGTACAGGGCCAGCCTCAAGTAAAAAAGTTAAGAGAGCAGACACGGCTCTGAATTCAAGTCCCAGTACCAGCACATGCACACGTACACACGCACAGACTCTGCGCACAGGCTGTGTGTATGATGTGCTGGCTCTGTGGGTAAAGTCAGACCGCGGGTCCGCGGAGCATAACGGCTGCTGTGTGTTTCAGGGAGGCCTACCCCAACTGCACCGTCCTCGAAGCCCGGCCTTGTTACAACGTGGCACGCCTTATGTTCCTTGATGCTGAGAGGTACCAGGCTGGGCAGGGAGGGGGATGCCGCGGGCCCCTGCCTGCTGTGGAACTGTGGAGGGCTTGAGTCTTGCCACACGGGAACTTGGCTCCTTTACCTCCTAGTGTTTCATAGGAGATTTCTATTAGAGTTCATTCCCTATCCCCCCACCCTCCACCTCCCACCCTCACCCCTGCACACCTGTTACTTCTGGTCTAGAGAGCACAGGAGGAAAGGGGCTCCCAGTCCCTACCCTGCCTGCAAGACTCATCCTAGGCCACAGGATGGGAAATTCTCATCGGACTGTGGAAAGGACTGGTCCGTGAGGACGGATGGAGTCCTTGGGCTGGGGGATGCCTGATCCAAGTCCAGGGCAGCCCCGGCTTTGGGGAGTGGGTCTGCCCCATCCTCCCGCCAACCCAGCCCCTCCGGGTCCCACAGGAAGAAGGCTGAGCGCGGAAAGCTCTACTTCACAAACCTGCAGAGCAAGGAGAACGTGCCTGCCATGATCAACCCCAAGCCCTGTGGCCACCTGTGCTGCTGCGTGGTGCGCGGTTGCGAGCAGGTGCGCTGCAAGCTGACCACGGGGCCCCGGCCTGGGCAGGGCTGGGGCGGGCTGGATGGGCCATTGCGTAGAGCCAGCCCCTCACCCAGGACAAACACAGAGTAAACCCTGCAGACATGAGGCTGGACCCCTCCCTCATCCCAGACCCCTGAAGCCCGGTTCTCTGCCTGAGTTAATTTGTACATACAGTGACCAGATTAGGTCAGCAAGAGTGCAGCATTGTACTGTACTGACTAAGGCTGTGATTCTGAGCAAGTTTCTTAACTGCATTTTGCCTCGGTTTCCTCATCTGTAAGATGAGAGTGGTGATGAGGATTTAGTCCACACATATAAAAAGCCTCAGGGAGGACAGTTACCATAGGACATTCCTGAAGTCCCAGTATCTGGGAGTCGAGTCTAGAGTCTAGAGTTAAGAGACCAAAACAGAAGGGGAGGAGCAGGTGTAGCGTGTGGAGGGCGGGGCCGGGGCCGCTGACCGCACACCTGGCCTTGGCCACGGCAGGTGGAGGCCATCGAGTACTACACGAAGCTGGAACAGAAGCTGAAGGAGGATTACAAGCGGGAGAAGGAGAAGGTGAACGAGAAGCCCCTGGGCATGGCCTTCGTCACCTTCCATAACGAGACCATCACCGCCATGTGAGTCCCGGCCCCGCCCAAGCCCCCACCCCCTGGCTCCCAGCCGTCAGCTCTGCGGCCGACGCAGCGTTTCGCACACAGCATCCTGAAGGACTTCAACGTGTGCAAGTGCCAGGGCTGCGCCTGCCGCGGGGAGCCCCGCACCTCCTCCTGCAGTGAGGCCCTGCACATCTCCAACTGGACTGTGTCCTACGCACCTGACCCCCAGAACATCTACTGGTGAGCCCCAGGGCGGGGCGGGGAGGGGAGGGGCTCGGGAGGGGTGGGTGGGCCTGGGGTCCCCAGAGTGACCCACACACACCTCGCAGGGAACACCTCTCCATCCGTGGCTTCGTCTGGTGGCTGCGTTGCCTGGTCATCAACGTGGTCCTCTTCATCCTGCTCTTCTTCCTCACCACCCCGGCCATCATCATCACCACCATGGACAAGTTCAACGTCACCAAGCCCGTGGAGTACCTCAACGTGAGCCCAGCCCTCCAGGGCTCCCCCCCCCATATTCTCCACACACTGCCCCAGAAGAGGTCACCCTAGGATTTACCAGCCCCCGAGCGGAGGGGTGCATGACCTTGACTAAACCCTGTGCGCCCTCTGCCTTCAACTGAAGCTGGCTGCAAGCAGCTGGATGCTTAGCTTTCAGCTAACGCGGCGTGAGGCAGGAAGCAAGCCTTGCCGCCTGCCCCGCGACAGCCCCTTCCTCCCACACACAGCTCCTCGGAACTCAGTGTCCAGGGGAGGAGACATTGAAAGTACCGCGCGAGGAGCGCGGATGCTGAGACCCAGGCTGCAGGCCCCAGTCCCCGTCCCATGCTTACTAGGAGCTAAGCCTTTGAGATGCTTTGCCTCCATGTATGCATCTGCAAAATGGGCCCTATCATTGTGACAGTTAATACCTGGAAAATACAGGTGTGCTTGGCACATAACAGGCGTTGAGCAGGTGCTAACTATCGGCATCATTCACCCCAGGCCTCATGCACAGCCCTGCCCACCACCTCAGCCCGTGTGTTCAGGACTAATGACATTGGACCCTCTTGACCTCCCCCCCCCACAGAACCCCATCATCACCCAGTTCTTCCCCACCCTGCTGCTGTGGTGCTTCTCGGCCCTGCTCCCCACCATCGTCTACTACTCTGCCTTCTTTGAGGCCCACTGGACACGGTGAGATGCGCACCCTGCGCCTAGATCCTCCCGGTGCCTGCTGGCCCCACGGGACTGCCCTTGAGCCTCAGGGCTCCCTACCCTGCACAGTCCCGCGCTGGCAAGGAAGAAACAGGGCCCGCGGGGGAAGCCCCTCCCCGGGCAGCGCTCCCGGCACCTCTGTCCTGGTTGGGAGAGCAGGCCCAGGGCCGGCTCCCCTCACCTGTGCCCGCGCGCCCTCCCAGCTCCGGGGAGAACAGGACCACCATGCACAAGTGCTACACCTTCCTCATCTTCATGGTGCTGCTCCTGCCCTCGCTGGGACTGAGCAGGTGAGTGCCAGGCCACAGGCCGGCATGGGGACCTCCACCCTGCACTTACAGGAGGACACATGATCGGAGGCCCCGGCCTCCCCTGATTTCCTGCTCCGTTCTGACTGGCTCCCCTCCGCTCCCCTCCAGCCTGGACCTCTTCTTCCGCTGGCTCTTTGACAAGAAGTTCTTGGCTGAGGCTGCCATTCGGTTTGAGTGAGTGAGTGGGGCCCCTGGAGAGAGACCATGGTGGGTGGGCGCAACTTAGAAACACTGCCACCCCATGGGGGAGGGGGGCGGGGGCGGAACTGTGACCACACCTCCACCCCAGCACGGGAGGAAAAGAAGGGCTGACATCATGGGTCTGAGGATCACACCGCAGAGACACCCACCATGCTTGGGTCCTGTATCATGCCCCAGGAGCCCATGTGGAAGCTGAGCCCACCTCAAGGTGGATTTAGGGCTTAGCAGACCCACGTCTGGGGGGGGGCTTTCTATGGTGTCTTTGGCTCATTTTCTGGGATGTGCTATGGTAGCCTTGAATTTGAGCTGGGGGGTTGGAGAAATGTCAGTAATGAGATCTTAGGCATATTCTGGGAGAGATCTAGGAACTCCCGGGGTACTGAGTCTACAGAAGGCTTTTGGGGTGTGGGGTGTCTCTGGGGCTCCCACTGCAGGGAGGAGGGGGAAAGCTATCAGGGTTCTGGGAGCCTCGGTGCGGTGTGGCTGAGGTTCTCTCTGGGTCTCTGGGAGGCCACATGCTGCCTCGTGGGCTGGCTGTGGGCTGTGTGGACCTTGAACTCACTAGAGGCCTATCTGGCCTCTCCCCGCTGGAGCTATCCGGGCAAGGAGTTCTGAAGCCGGCCTGAGCACCATCTAAGGCTCATTTTGGGGGTGTGGACTATGTTAAGGTCTGAAACTTCTGGGTGTTCCTGCACTCAACATGCTTGGAGTCTGAGGGGCCCGCTGAGGTGCCAGGCAGCCGGACCCCAGATATTGTGGTGGGCTTAAACACTGTCTCCTTGAGTCTTTCTGAGCCACAAGGTCTAGGGGTCTGTCCAGCCACGTCTGTTCCGACATCTGTCTCTGAGTTCGTGCGTGGGGGCCTAGGGCGTCAGTGCTGGGGAGACTAGCCATGTGACGGAAACGTGGAGGGGGCGGGCATGGTGGGCTGTCGTGCTGGCACTGAGCAGGCAGCCACCAGGTCACCCCAAGGGCGCAATGCTGGAGCACCTGGTGCCCGCAGGTGTGTGTTCCTGCCGGACAACGGCGCCTTCTTCGTGAACTACGTCATTGCCTCAGCCTTTATCGGCAACGCCATGGACCTGCTGCGCATCCCGGGCCTGCTCATGTACATGATCCGGCTCTGCCTAGCCCGCTCTGCTGCTGAGAGACGCAACGTAAAGCGGGTACGGCCGCCTGGGGCAGCAGCGGTCCGCATAGCGCCCCCTGGTGGCCCAACCAGAAGCAGCGGCAATTAAGCTGGGGGGCGGGGGGGTCACAAGGGTGCTGGGACTTGGGGACCTCAGTTTGCTCAAATGTACAGCCATGGGTTGACAGGTGACCCAGGAGGTCCCTGAGTTCAGGCAGTGTAGTGTTGTGGGCTGGGAGTTGGACAGTCTGGCTAGATTTAGGGTCCCTCCACCCTAACTCCACAAGAAGGCTCTGGGCATCTAGTCCCCCACGTCCTCCCAACTCTTGTCCCTCCTACCAGCCCTGACCCCCAGAAGGCCCCGTGCCCTGTCACGACCTGACCTGACCTCAGCCACAGCCCCTCCTCTCCACCTGCTTGCCCTTCCCCTTCCCCAGACACAAGATCCTTGTCCCCGCGGCTTCATTCCCAGCCCCAGCGTTCCTGGCCACCACCTCCACCTGCCCTGTGCCCCTGCAGCCCGTCCCCTTCGCCCTGAGCCACCTCCTGCCCATGTCCCCCCCAGCATCAGGCCTACGAGTTCCAGTTTGGCGCAGCCTACGCCTGGATGATGTGCGTCTTCACGGTGGTCATGACCTACAGTATCACCTGCCCCATCATCGTGCCCTTCGGTAGGCGCCGCCGCGCCGGGACCTGGGCCCTGCTCGGGGGGACCCCGGGCCGAGCCCGCTCCACTCTAGTAAGGCAGGCCACCCCGAGTGGACAGGGCCCTGGCTGGGAGACCGGCCCCTCGGGCCTCCCGCCTGGTCCCTGGCTCAGTCTGGGGCCCGGCCTCGGGGATGAGGGGGAGAAAGAACATTTCCACTCAGACCGGACCTGCCTGCTGCGCGGGGCCCTGGGCAGAATCGCCCACCCCGGCCCCAGCTGCCCACCCTGCGCACAACCACACCTGCTGGGATGCAGTCCAGTCCCTCTGCCACGGCTCACACACACCCCTACACAGCCTCCAAACCAGGAAAGACTCCCGCTCCAGGGGGGCGGGTCCTGTGCCCATGGGATTGTCCTGTGGTAGAAGATCGTTGTCACTTGGGCTGTTGTCACTTGGGCAGGTCTGCCTTCCTTTTTAGAAATGACTCACAAAGATTTTCTTTTAACCATGACCCTGCCAGTAGCCTCCACTTCCCCCCAATAACACTCTAACCTTCACCACCCTCTCTGTTAAGACCCCAGTCTCCCAAACTAACCTTCTTGTCCTGTGTAACCCCCCCACTCCCCCTCCAGGGAAGCACACCCCCTCCTTTCACTTATACTCCTCTGCTTAGAGATGGGGCTAGGGAGCAGCGGGCTGGGTTTCCGGCAGATTCTCGCCGCTCCACATGAATGGGGCTCTACTGTAGGATTAGAGGTGAGGGTTCAGGAGGAAGGGACCGGAGCCGAGGAAGTAGGGCACCGAGCGGCATCCTGTCCTGGGGCAGGAGCAGGGCAGGAGGGGGACAGCCCTCCCGTGATCTCAGAAGGCCTGGATGGACGCACTGGTTCCAAGGTCAGGGCCCATGTGACTTCCCCCAGGGCTCATGTACATGCTGCTGAAGCACCTGGTAGACAGGTACAATCTCTACTATGCCTACCTGCCCGCCAAGCTAGACAAGAAGATCCACTCAGGGGCCGTGAACCAAGTGGTAGCCGCACCCATCCTCTGCCTCTTCTGGCTGCTCTTCTTCTCCACCATGCGCGCAGGTGAGGCCCACTGCCACTGCTCTGGGGGGGCCGGGGACACCGGTGGCTCATCCAGAGTGGAGGTCGAGCAGGCCCATGCAGCCAGGGGCCTGGGAGAGGTCTGGGTCAGGCCATGCGCATGGAATTGTGACAGTGCAATCAGAAGGTACCAGGGAGCCCCTGGGGAGGCCCAAAGGAGGGGCGACACCCCCATTCCTTGTTCCTCCACACCAGGGTTCCTGGCCCCCACATCCATGTTCACATTTGTTGTCCTGGTCATCACCATCGTCATCTGTCTCTGCCACGTCTGCTTTGGACACTTCAAATACCTCAGTGCCCACAACTACAAGGTATTGGGCTGGGGAGGGGGGCGGCGGGGAGGCATTGAAATGGGGAGGGCTGCGGTAGGAGCTGGGGGTGGGGTCACACTCTAGTCCCTGACTCCTTGTGGGCTTCTCAAGATTGAGCACACAGAGACAGATGCCGTGGGTCCCAGAAGCAACGGACAGCCCCCCACTGCTGCCGCTGTCCCCAAATCTGCGGTGAGTGAGCCGCTCCGTGGCAGGGGGAGGCGTCCCAACCCCAAAACTGGGCAGTGGGGAGCAAGATTGGCTGGAGGTACCCTGCTAGTCCCCCACGCGCGAGAGCCAGCCGTCCCTCACCCCACTCCTCTTCCCTTCAGAAATACATCGCTCAGGTGCTGCAGGATTCAGAGGGAGATGGAGATGGGGACGGGGCTCCCACAAGCTCAGGGGACGAGCCCCCATCATCCTCATCCCAAGACGAGGAGCTGCTGATGCCACCAGATGGGCTCACGGACACGGACTTCCAGTCCTGCGAGGACAGTCTCATAGAGAACGAGATCCACCAGTAAGGGGAGGGCAGGGCCCTGGAGGCCACGCCCTGCCCGCTCGCCCCACCCCCACGGACACTAAAACGCTAATAATTTATTAGATCTAAAGCCCCTTCCTTCCCCATCCCCTGCTTTCATTAAGGTATTTAAACTCTGGGATCCCACCGCTCTCCCCCACCACGGAGAGCGCGCGGGAGCCCCTCAACCTCAGTGAGGAGAGCCCCGAGCCGGCCCCGGGGCAAAGGGGTGTGGAGGGAGTTCCCCCAGATCAACCCCCCTCCCAGTAGCGTCCAAGAAAGGGTTAATGAGAGCCGAGAGGGGCACCTGGTGCCCGAGGCTGGAGACCTGGGGGATGGGCAGATCTTTCCTCCCCTTCATTCCCCCAGGACCTGGAGTCCCCAGCCCTCCCGAGATGCATGAGGGGTGGGTGCAGAGCGGGAGAAAGTCAGGCCCCAGCCTCGGGGCGGGGGCCCTGGGGGGAATGGCTGACACTGGAAAAATGGGTTTTTGCACTGGTTTTTTGTTTTGTTTTTTTGGGTTTTTTTTTTCCCTTTAAAATAAAAACAGAAAAGCTTTGGGGCTGATGTCCACTTTGTGCTGCTGCCTGGACCCAGGCTGGGGCTCCTCCTCAGCCTCTGTCCCCCCACCCCACCCCCGGCGCTCGCTCCCCATCCACATGATCCTCAAGGAATTTGTTCAGTCTCGGCTTGGGAGAGGCCTGGAGGTGGGTGTCTCAGGATGGAAGGGGCCTCTGCTCAGATTGCTCCACTCCAGCCCCACCCTCCATGGTCCCCAAACCCCACAAGCAACGCGGGGCTCTGGAGAGGGACCTGCAAAGCCTCATGTCTCTGGCCAGGAGTCCTCCAGATGCCTCAGAGTGGCTGCTCATGTCCCCCCAGGAGTGTCCTAGCCCCACACACCCCAGGAGCCCCTCAGAGCCTGTGATTTTCACAACCCAACTCCAGCTCACCTCTAAGTGGATTCCTGTGAGCTCTATTCCACACCAAAGCCACACAGCTGTGCCGCGCACACGTGTGCTTGCGTACACACGGCATGTGGCCTGCGTACAGTTCGATGTAGAAAGCCTGCATTCCTGCCACGGTTCTGCCACCCGCCCCCTGTGCATCCCTGAGGAAAGCGACTTCTCCCTGGTCGTTTCCTCAGGAAAATCAAGGTATATTGCAGAGTCCAAGCCCCAGGACTGGCACACACACACACACAGAGCTTGCCCAACCACCAGCCAGGGGCAGGAGCAAACAGTGGCCTGGCCGGTCCCCACACCACAGACAGGCCAGGGGACTAGACTTCTTGGACCAGTGACTGTAGAGATGGAAGGTAGAGCCTGGTTTCAGCTACCATGTCAGAGCTGTAGCTTTAGGAAGCAAACTCCCCATGGAATTCCCAAGGTCCTGGGGCCAGTCTGGGGGGAGGGGAAAGCACTGCCAGACCCAGCATGAGGGGACAGTGCCAGCTGGGGCCAGTCCAGGGGAGGTGGGGGCGCTGCCAGACCCAGCATGAGGGGGCAGTGCAGTCAGTGAAACATGCTTTTATAGTGCAAAGGCTCCAGGGCTCCCAGAGCGCATTTTGTGTCTGAGCCAGCAGGCACCAGTGCTGTCTGGCAAGACCGAGTGTTGCACAGTGTGGCCTGGACAGATCTCAGGCCTGGCCTCTGGGAGGCAGACACCCCCTTGGTTCCCAACCTGTATAGCAAATCTCCCTGCCCTCCAGGAAGTGTCTCCCAACAGGGCCTATGAAGTTCAAAACCAAGTCCAAATGTTTGGAGATGTGAAATGCCAGATGACATCCAACAGCACACAGAGCAAAGGTACTTAGGAGGTCCGGCCCAGTGGGGAGGCCCAATGGCCAAGGCCCACCCCACCCCACCTGCCTGACGTGATCATTTGGCAGGTATTTATCCAGCAGGCACCCGGTGCCCAGCATTAGGCTGGAGACTTCAAGGTGCCGTGCTGCAGTCACAGAAGGGGGAAAGGAGGCCACACAGCCCGAATCCACTCCTTTTTATTTTTATTTTTGGTAGGATGGGACTTGAACTCTGGGCCTGGGCGCTGTCCCTGAGCTCTTCAGCTCAAGGCGAGCGCTCTACCACTTGAGCCACAATGCCACTTCTGGTTTTTTGGTAGTTAATTGGAGCTAAGAGTCTCAGGGACTTTCCTGCCCCAGCTGGCTTTGAACCTCGATCCTCAGATCTCAGCCTCCTAAGTAAGTAGGATTACATGCGTGAGACACCGAGGCCCAGCTCACTTGCTCTTTTTTATACCTGGGGCAGTGGAAGATAAGGAACAAGCAAGGTTCAAACACTAGCTCACACTTACACTTCTAGCTACTCAGAAGACAGATCTGAGGATGGACAGCCCAGACAGAAAAGTGTGAGACTCTTATCTCCAATTAACCAGTAAAAACCAGAAGTAGTTGAGCATAAAGCAAAAAAGACAAGCAAGAAGATAAGTCCTCAGGCTGGGAAGGTAGCTCAGTGGTAGAGTGCTTGCCTTGCATGCGTGAGTCCCTGGGTTCGATTCCTCAGCACCACATAAGCAGAAAAGCTGGAAGTGGCACTGTGGCTCAAGTGGTAGAGTGCTAGCCTTGAGCTGAAGAGCTGAGGCCCCAGTTCAGGCCCCATGACCAAAAAAAAAAAAAAAGGTGAGGCCTGGAGTTCAAGCCCTAGTAACTGACACAAAATAAAAAAGAAGCTGAGGCAGGGCGCTGGTGGCTGACACCTGTAATCTTAGCTACTCAGGAGGCCGAGATCTGAAGGTCAGGCAAGGCAAGAAAGTCAGTGAGACTCTTATCTCTCTAACCACCACAAAACCAGAAACAGCACTGTAGCTCAAAGTGGTAGAGCACTAACCTTGAGCCAAAGAGCTCAGGGACAGCACCCAAGCCTTAAGTTCAAGCCCCATAACCAACAAAAATAAATAAATGAAGCTCAAGTTGAGGTGACACACCTTGCAAGAGACTCAGATGGACTTGGCCCACAGAAGTGGCTCCTGTCCCCAGTGGGTGGGTGTGGGTGGTGGGTCTGGCGATGAGAAGGGGTTGCCCCGTTGCTCTGGGGCTGGGATAGAGGCTTGAAGGGGAAGGAGGAGAGAGGGATGGCAGCAGTTGAGAGGTGCCCAGATCCAGAAATCCCACTGGGAGCAGAGAGTTCCAGGGTGGGGGAGGGGGTCTCTACTCCCACTCCCCCCAGAATCCTTAACTGTCAGGCCCTCGCTAGGAGCCCACCAGCTGTAGGCATGCTGCACTTACCAGGTAGGCACTGATGAAGACTGACCCACACCTGTACCTCCTGCAGACTAGGGCCTCCCCCAGAAATAGGGCTTCTGTACCCGTCAGACTGAGTAAGTACCCTCTGAGGATTGAGGCTGGAACTCTCATCAGATTGAGTGTGCCCTGGAGACCACAGCCGAGCCTCTACCTCACAGTATTTGGGAAAGAATAGGCCAATGAAGGTCAGAGGAGCTGGTAAGTCAGGGAAGGGCTGGAGATGAGAAGATACCTTGGATTTGTCTGCTCAGGCTGGCTTCAAACCGGGATCCTCAGATCTCAGCCTCCTGATGAGCTAGGATTACACAAAGCCACCAGCACCTACCCGGCTCCTACTTCATTTTTTATTATTGATTATTATTCCACTGTAGGCAGACCCCCCTGTTTGTCTACTCTTCATCTGATGGTCATTTGAGTTTCCCCCCTGTTTTATGGCTATTGGAAATAATACTACTACGAACATTTGCATGTAAGTTTTATTTTTTATTTTTGTCGGTCGTGGGGCCTGAACTCTAGGCCTGGGTGCTGTCCCTCAGCTCAAAGCTCAAGGCTAGCACTCTACACTTGAGCCACAGCGCCACTTCCGGCTTTTTCTGCTTATGTGGTGCTGAGGAATCAAACCCATCAAACCCAGGGCCTTATGCATGCAAGGCAAGCACTCTACCACTGAGCCACCTTTCCCACCTCTGCATGTAAGTTTTAGTGTGGATGTATATTTGCGTGTCTCTCGGACATTTAGTAGCTATTTGGGTTTTTGTCATGGTGGTTTGGTTTATTCATCTGAGCCAATACTAGGGCTTGAACTCAAGCCTGTGCACTAGCCTGTAGCTTTTTTGCTCATGGCTGACACTCTACCACTTGAGTCCTATGCCTTCACTTACAGCTTTTTGCTAGTTAGAGATGAAAGTCTCACAGACTTTCCTGCCTGGGCTACCTTCGAACTACAATCCTCAGTCCTCTGTCTCCTGAGCAGCTAGGATTTCAGGCGTGAGCCTCTGTTTTGATTAAGTTGCTTGTCTCTTGGTTGCTGAGCAGAGCCCATTTTTATGGACAAGGGAATGGTGTCTGCCATAAACGAGAGTCGACTCCAGGCCAGTGGGGTAGGCCAACACAGCAACGCCCAAAACCACAGGAACCAGAGCTTTGAGGCACTACAAGCAACCTGTCTGAGAAATGGGGAGCTGTTTGAGGACCCCTTCTTCCCTGCAGAGCCCAGTTCTATTGGCTTCAAGGACCTGGGCCCCCAATCCAAACATGTGCAGAACATCAGTTGGCAGCGGCCCAAGGTGAGCACTGGACAAGGAGGGGGGCGGTTAATATAATCTCCAGCCCACCACTCCAGCCTAGCTTTGAAGGAGGCTCCACCTCTACCACAAGAACTGGGAGTGGTGGACTGAACATGCCCAGCCGGCCCTGCACCTCCCCACCCCTCCCCTCATCTCTTCCCCCAGAACTTGAGGGAGGGCCCCAGCAGGGAGGGGAGCATCCTGGCTCCCTGACATCTTCATTTCTTCACTGCAGGAAATCACAAGCAACCCCCAATTCATCCTGAATGGGCTCACTCCCACAGACATTTGCCAAGGGGTCCTTGGTGAGTCTTAAAAGAGCAAGGGGTTGGTCGCCATTGGGGCATGGGAAGGTGGGGTAGTGCCAAGGTATCTTTTTTTTTTTTTTGGTTGGTCGTGGGGCCTGAACTCTGGGCCTGGGCACTGTCCCTCAGCTCTTCAGCTCAAGGCGAGGGCTCTACCACTTGAGCCACAGCACCACTTCCAGTTTTCTAGTGGTTTATTGGAGATAAGAGTCTCATGGACTTTGGTGCTCAGGCTGGCTTTGAACCGCGATCCTCAGATCTCAGCCTCCTGAGTAGCTAGGATGACAGGCGTGAGCCACCAGCACCCAGCCCAAGGTATCTTTTGAGGCTGGAAAACTGGGCCCCCTAGATTCAACCACCTGGTTCTGTGTCCCTGTCCCTCCCCTTCCAGGAGATGAGCATGGAACTGGTCAAACATCAGTAATGTATTAGTTATCTATTGGTTCTTAATAGAGCCCCAAGACTCAGTAACTGAAAAAAATAACAGGCCAGAGAAAGCAGGTCCCACCAAGTCTCCGTGGCGCACATCTGTTATATTAGCTACTCGGGAGTCTGAGATCTGAGAATCATGGTTCAAAGGCAGCCAGAGCAGAAAAGTCCGTGAGAATCTTATCTTCAGATAAACAGCAAAAAGCCAGAAGTGGAGATGTAGAAGTGGCAGCCTTGAGTGAGAAAGCCAAATGAGAGTATAATGCCGAGGGGGGGCAGGGGCGCGGAGAAGAAGAAGGAAGAGAAGAAAGGGAGAGAGGGAGGAAGGGAGGAAGGGAGGAAGGAAGGCAGGAAGGCAGGCAGGAAGGAAGGAAGGAAGGAAGGAAGGAAGGAAGGAA